AAAAAAAGACGTTTATATGCGCCTTATAGTCGTGAAAATATGGTCACACAATATTTAGGCCTCAATATTTAGTTTGGTCCAGATATGTACCAAATATTTTCTCTCCTTATCATTGCTCTGTCCATATGAGTTTTTAGACCATGTTAGTGGAGGACAGAACTTCCTGTTCACAGACTCTTCCAGCTGATGTAAAGCTCTCTGCAGCGACCAAGAGTCTCTTCAGACGCTTCTCTGACAGATTCTCTACTTTTCCAACCTGCCTGTTTAAGAGGATGTTTTGGTTGGTTTTCTGTCATTTACACTCTTTGTATCTATTGCTTAAGAAACAAACCCTTCAGAAGAGATGGATTCCTACTGAGATTCAATTATCCACAGGTGGATCCTACCCTGAGTTAGTCCGTCACTAAAATTCACTGACACATACTTTTACCATGCTCTTTAATTTCAATTTCCTAAGCAGGTCTGAAGGAATGCTAATACTCAACTCCGTAGACATGTTTGTTCTTTTAATCCGGAAAGTGATTCGGTCCCAGACTTACCTCCTGTTATAAAACCCCAGAGTTCAGCTGCGTTGGAGCTGCGCCGTCTCCGCTGAGCCTCTGTTTCTGTCTTTCTGCTGGGAGGCTTTGTGTCCTGCCACAAACTGATACTCGGAGCCAGTGAAGCGAGCAAATCCAATTTGCTCCGTGGGAGCATTAGAGTATTGAACTCCAGCGTTAATTTCTTTCTGAAATGACTTCCAGTCTGCTCGGTTCTGCGAGCACCCTGGGACACACAGGGGAAGAGAACAGAGGGAGAAAAGAAATTAAAAGGAGGAAACGGGAACGACAGAAACATGGAAACCAGGAACAAACAGGGAACAAACAACAATCCGTCCATCCGTTGTCTCACAGAGACTCACCGAACCTGGACAACAACAGGACTGGAACAAAGTGTCTGGATTTTAGATGCAAGATTCAGATAAACTGATCAAGTTGGGTTTAACAGCATAAAAGCAGAGATTAATCTGTCTTTATCAGTGGTTTAGACCTGTGGTGGGGGTGGCAATTCATTTCTTGTCACATATTGGGCTTTAAATACAAACTATGCATCATTTAAACCCCACGGCCAACCTTAGTATTGTTGCTGATTATGTTTAATCCTTTATGTCCCTCTGGTGGTTACTTCCAGTGAGATAATACATCATGTCACAAAGCTCAACTCATTTTAAGGCTCTCTACCCCACTATCTAAGCATTTTAAAGTCCTCTATAGAAAAATATATGAAGAAATAATGTCTTTAGGGACTACCACAGGCAATCATTTGGTATAAAATATATATTTTTTTCCAACCTTGAAGAAAAGCTCTTGAATTCAAATTATGTCGCCTCTCTCCTTCTGGGTGCCATATGACGGCATTTCTTTGAGCTTAACAAAGTCTCAGACCATTCACTGGCATAAATAATGATCTTACTGTTTTAGAACATAACTATAAAATGAGGGGGGTTCTGTCCTGTTCACATTAGAGAACCACTTTCTGCCGATTCTGAGCAGGAATCACTTTGTTCTACCTCACATCACCCCTCCCTGATCAGAAAAATTGGTTTCTTTACAGTGCAGGCACAGCGCAGTGAAGTTTGGTGCTTCCTGGATTGGGCCTTCTTGCGTAGATATTCCCCACCCACCCGTTCTCACAGGTCAGGGAGGGGCTGCTGCTTAGACAGAAGAACTCATTAAGGAGATGCGTGGATATAGCGAAATATATATATAATTTGATATGTTAAATGAGGAAGTTATGTCCACTAAAAAAGCCATTGCGATTCTTTTCCTGTCAGACTATATATATATATATATATAGTCATTGGTACTTGTTGATGGCATTAAGATTATTTCTAAGAGCATTAAAAGAGCATTAAAAACCATTAAATAAGAGTTACTCATTCATGTATAAACTCTGTATTAAGACAGGAGTTCATTATAAAAGGGTCGGGGGTTACTGAGGATTTTGGATCTTTCCAAGTAGGATGTTCCCAGAACAGCTTTAGGGAA